CCAGCCCACTGTGGGTGGTGCCATGTCTAGACATGTGATCCTGGGGTGTACAGGGAAACAAAGTGTGTAAGCCAAGAGAAGCAAGCCAGTAAGCAACATTCCTCCACAGCCTCTGCTTTAATTCCAGCCTGCAGGCTCCAGCCCAGCTTCCCACCCTGACTTCTATACAGGATGGATTATAAACTCTAAGCATTCTCCCCAACTTGGGTTTTGTCATGGAGCTTTATCAGAGCAATAGAAACCTAATTAAGATACCATCCACAGGCTTGAATCACTTGATAAAGTGGCTCACAGAACTCAAGGGAACACTTCACCTGTAGCTACCCATTTGTTTTAAAGGATATTACAGTGGATTTGGTGAAAATACTGATGGGAGAGCTTTGTGGAACAAAGAATGTGAGGAATGTTAGAACTCCTGTGCTTTCTCAAGCCAGATACCTGTAACATGTAGTCTTCCCACCTGCCACCGGGCCCTGCTGAGCTGTCTGAACCCCTAAATAACACACAGGATGCTATATTAAGTATTAAGCTGTTGACTGTTTGCTTTGTTTCTTACTAACTAGCTCTGACTTCATTTCTAACCCATAATTGCTGATAGTATTTCCATGTGGTCTTCGCTTACCAGAGTACAGGGTCTGGACCTCTTACTCCTCTGACTTTCTACATCGTGACCGTCTGTGCCTCTCTTTCCCAGAATCCTCTCTGACTGCTAGTCCCACCTATCTTGCTTTCCTATTGGCCAACAGTGCTTTATTCAACAACCAATAAGAGAGACAGATTTACAGAATGACATCTCCCATCAGATACCCTTCTTCAAATTTCTCACATCCATCTATCTGGAAGTGCCCAGGAAACTGTTCTTTTGGATTCTTATGGAAGCTCCATTTTGTAGGCATGGCAGTGATATAGACACCATTTCTCACTGATGAATAACCCAGCTTTGGTTCTTCTCTGCTCTCCACTCCCTAGAGGTTGGAGGAAGGACTGAATGTCCTTACCACCCAATGATAGCTCAGTCTTTATTACAACCAGCGCCCCCCCCACACACACTTTGAAGCTACTTAGAGAACTATAGACATCAGTCATTTCTTTAGCCCACAAAAGACAAATGTATTTTGGTAGAATATATCAATTACAAGCAATTAAATAAAATAAATTTCATTATGAATCTACCATACATGTATGTGTACAATGAACCTTGATCACATTGGCCTCCATTAGCTTCTCTCATCTGCCTCCTACTTTTGTTTTTATCATTTTTGAGTCATATGCTAGAAAATGGGGAGGCATTTTGCAGTGTTACAACTGACCTATTTATTCTAGCTAGGTTTATGTTGCTGTGATGAACATCATGCCCAAAAACAATCTGGAGTGGAGAGGGTTTACTTCCTCTTATAGCTTATGGGACTTTGTCAGTGTTATGGTGGATGTTACACCCATGAGCCCCTCCCTCATCTCCCTCCAAACCCTGCTGCATCTCAGAAAGCCTGCCAGATATGCTCAAGACCACAACCACAGGGTATTTAAACAACCCCCCAGAGACTAAAAGGGACCTTCCAGTGGGGACTGGAAGGCCATCCGGGAGCGCTGTATTCATTCATTAAACATGGGCTTTTTCTAACTTCGTTTGATTTGGTCTGATTTGAATTGCTGCATTGGCAGAGAGACCTGTTGGGTGTAGAAACTTTTCATTTGGGAGTTCCACTGAGGGGCTGTTTGTTCCCCCACCAGCCCCGGGCCATGTGGTGGGAAAACACCCTTCTCCCCAACACCTGCTCTCTGCCAGGCTAAGATTGGCTTTCGACTGTGTAAGTTGGCTTCTCCATGACTTGGAAAGGACAAGTCAGGAATTAAAAGCAGAAGACTGAGGCAGAAAAGATAGAGGAATATTTCTTACTGGCTTGCTGTCTCTGTCTCATACTCAGCCAGCTTTCTTATACCACCTGAGACTATCTGTCAAAGGATGAATCCAACCATAGTGGACTGGGCTTTCCTACATCAATTAGCAATTAAAAAGTAATGACATGCCCAGCAGCTAATCTGATTAAGAAAATTCTGCAATTCAGACTTCTTCAGATGACTCTAGGCTGTGTCAAGTTAACAGATGAATCTAACTGGGAGACTTTTATATGTCACTGTGGTAAAAATCTACCGTAGCCCCCTACCCACCTGTGTGTGTGTGTGTGTGTGTGTGTGTGTGTGTGTGTGTGTGTGTATTTCAGACACAGCAACAAGAGATGGGGGGGACAGCAGGAGGCCTGGAGCTGGCCTGGCAGCTGGTGTCCTCAGTAAGTGGCTGTCTGCCATCTCAGCAAGTGGCTTTTCAGGCATCCTTCCTGGCAATTTGACTGACCTCTAAGCATCTCTCCCTGCAGAGGAAGAAATTCTTCATTCCAACACAGCCTCTCTGCCACTCTCAGACATTCCTCTTGAACATTTTCACCATGCTTCCATTCTTTCGTCTTCTTCCTCCTCAGTACCCACAGTTTCTCCAGTTTGGCTAACATGCCTTTCATGCACATGGTGGTGTGCTCTGAATCTCCCCTTCTCCTGAGATGTTCTCCAATAGATGGCTTCCTTTTTCTGCTCCAGAGACCATCCTATCAATACAAAATCTGAGCCATGGCAGTTGAAGTGCCCCACAGGCCTGAGTGCAGTGTGGCCCAAGAGGAAGGTCCTTGCTGTTACTTGATAGCTCTCCAGGTGGGCACAGTTGAGAGAGCTGTCCACCATACTAGCCAATGCAGCTCGTCCCCTCTTTGAAAGAGGAGCACACATGGAGACCTCATGATCTTTGCTATTGATCTTCCAGTATTTACTAGTCGGTCTATTTTGTTCTTTAGGTGTGTCTGTCTATTATTATAGTGATACCATTCTAATCCTGAAACTTTGCGATCATTTGAAATTTGGTAGTAAATTCCTTAGATATTTGTTCCTTATACTATTGGTGTGCCTTTTATTTTATTTTTAAAGATTCCCATGTATCCCAGACTGACCTCAAACTAGCAGTCTAGTTGAGGATAGCCTCAAACTCCTAATTCCAGGGGTCTTTATTTCTGTGTACCTTCCTTTATTTCTTACTCTGTGACTTGCTGTGTAGTTGGGTGGCTGGCCCCTGGAGTCTTCCTCTCCTCTTTCTCTCTCCTCAATATTTTCCTCCTAGATTTATCCTCCTCTTTTATTCTTTCTGCTAGCCTGCCTATTCTCTCTCTTGCCTAGCCATTGGCCATTCAGCTCTTTATTAGACCAATGAGGCAGGCAACATAACACAGTTTCACAGAGTTAAGCAAACGCAACATAAAATAATGCAACATACCTTTGCATTATTAAGCAAATGTTTCACAGGACAAACAAATGTAATGCATCTTAAAATAATATTCACAACACTTTTAAGTCCTTATTTTGTTTATTTGCTTTACTTATTATCTGAGATAATAATTTCAAAGTATAACATTGGATAAAAAATGTCAAGTGAGCCAGGCATGGTGGCACACACCTATAAGCTCAGTACAGGAGAGGATGAAGCAGGAGGATCATGAGTTAGAAACCAGTCTGAACTGCAAAACATAACCTTCCCTAGTCCCAAATGATACTGGCAGGGATCCATGTCCTTATTCCAGATATTTAGGGATTAATTTCAACATTTAGTTATTAGGTCTGAGAGCAACATTGGGCTCCGTTAGATAACATTGCTGGCATTAAGTACATTTCTTTGTATTTTTATTTTGTTAAAACTTCTTCATGAGGGGATAGGGAGGTGGTTCAAGAGTTAAGAGCACTGCCTGCTCTTCAAGACGATCCAGTTCAATTCCCAGAACCCACATGGAGCTTCATAAGCATCTGTAACACCCCAACCCCAGGGTACACAGGACACCAGACATGTATGTGGTACACAGACGCACATGCAGATAAAACACCCATCCACATAAAAATTAAAAAAGAGCTTCTTCAAGAATGAATGTGAACTTTTTGATACATTCCAACACACTTGTTGAAATGACCACCTGATTTGCCCTCGTTTTCATATTAATTAGTGAATTGTACCCCTTGAAGTTAGCCAACTTCGCATTCTTTCAATAATTCTCACTTTATTATTATAAAATACCAGCCTTTTATATACCAGTCTTCTGGTTGCTAGCAGTTTGAGAAAGACCCAAGTTAATGAAAGAGATGGAAAATAATGTGTTTTCTAATGATATATTTGTTCAGTTCTGATATGAAGGCAATTTAACCTTGTAAGCTCATAAATCATGCTGGCAACAGGTTAGATGATGTTTTGTTATCAACTTTCTAGGCATGCTAAAATCCTGGTTTCTCCTCTACAATACTGGTTTTTACCTTGGAGGTTTGGGCTTTTTGAATCTGGACTGCCTTAAAACCCCAAGCTCCCATTTTCCCAAGCTGCAAACTTTGGTTCCCTTTGCTCCAAGACACAGTATCAAAGACTTGGGGGAGACATGCTGGCAGATATTCAGACCACCTTAATTGGTTCCTCTTCTACGGTTATTGCCATCTTTCTTTCTCTGGGATCTAGGGACACTGCTGTCTTGATTTTTCTGGTATTTCGGGTCACTGCTGTCTTGCTTGCTCTGGCATTACCTGCAAACATTTTTAAAGAGCCAGTTCCTCGCAGGTGCAAGCTACTTATAACCAAACAAAGTCCATTCTTCAGCTTTAAAGTTCACATCACATCAGACCACCTCTCATTCTTCCTTTATGGTAATGTATACTGTGAGGGTGGTGAGAATAACCCCATGACATATGTCAGAGATACAATGCAGTTGACTGTATGAAGAGCTTCTACAGATATATCTGGGCTTGAATCGCAACTCTGCCATTGAGCCATGTAACTCTATGAAACTTCTTGGTGCCCCAACAGAATTATCTGAAGTATAACAATGACAGCTACTTCAGGCTTATAGCAAAGGCTAGAGTCAGTGGAAAATGTATTAAAATACTTAGCCCATGGCTAAAACAGCAATAATACAAAGTTGGCTAACATCAAATCCCATTTTATCTTATTTGCACGTACTCTTGTGTCCTTTTGTTGTTTTCCCTCCTTAATCACTTCAAAAATTTGCATTTTATTTGATCTTTTGTATGAGTGTTTTTTTACCTGAATATATACTATGAATCGCTTGCATGTTTGACATCCATGGAAGTAGAAGTAAGTTTGCATCCCCCGTAACTGGAGTTACAGGTGGTTGTCAACCACCATGCAGGTGCCAGAAACTCAACCTGGGACTTCTTGGAAAAGCAACACATGCTGGTAAGAGTTGTTCTATCTCACCAGCCCCCCACTTAGTTATTCTTTGTAATTGTTTCATACAAATAAAGAAAAGGCTAATGAATTTATATTTTTCTAGTATCTGGTATATAGAAAGTGCTCAGTTGCTCCATTAATTGAAGGGGGTTAGTTCAGCACATATCTAAAATGTTTCACTCAATTCTATTGATTTCAAAACAAAGATAATTGCCATGAACAGTACTAAGCCGCAGACTCATCAGCAAATCTCCTTTAAGCTGGGTGTAATCTCAGTGCAATCATTTGGGGGAGGGCATACCCATTCTAACATCTATCTCAAACAAAGCCAGGAAGAACACTAACACTACTAAAGAACATGATGCCATCGTTTCATCTCTAAGGACTGTACTGCAGCCTGGCTAACATAAAATAAAGTTGTTGTTCCTGTGATTTCCTGTTTCATACTCTTTGAGAGAAACAAATGGGGGCTGGAGAGATGGTTCAACAGTTATGAGTTTGTGCTGCATGCACCTGACCTTATATGCCATAGCCCTCATCCCCCCCTCATATACATGGGATTAAAAATAAAAACTTATAGACTTACAGTGGGAATCATAGACCATAACTGTAAAAGAGACACAAATTGAAGGACCCAGTCTTACTCTTGCACTCAATTCCTTGACTTTCTCTTTACCGTCAGTCCCCATGATACAATATTACTCACCTGACTGGGGTCAAGACAAGTCTCAGAAGATGGAAATGGATACCAGAGTGGATGAGATCTCTTTGGTAGCAAGAGTAGGTTCTTCCTAAGTGGCCAATAGGCTTGTTATCTTGTGAGGAATTAGGAGTGTTGTACATAGCTGTGCTAAGGGCAAAAGAAAAGACCAAGTCCACTGTTGAAAGAGAGCTGCAAGCTGGGTGGTAGTGGTGCATGCCTTAAATCCCAGTACTTGGGAGGCAGAGGCAGGCAGATCTTTGTGAGTTCTAGGCCAGCCTGGTCTACCGAGCTAGTTCCAGGACAGGCTCCAAAGTTACAGAGCAATCCTGTCTCAAGAGCTGCAAAATATATGGTTATAGTTTACAGTACAATTTAGGAGTCCTTATTAGACAATCAAATACAAAACCAGGCTCAAACCTGAGTTCAATACCACATGGTCCAGATGCACCGATTACTGGTACACACACAAAACATATGAAGTTAGCATATAAAAGGATAGCAACGCACCGGTGTTTATCACAGCACTAGCCTACATGTCCATAATCAGATGAACAAATAAGATGCATTGTATGTGCGCAAAAATAAGAATAATATTATGTCATATTTAAGAAAAATGGACGGAACTGGAGATCATCATGCTAAGTAAAATAAGCCAAGCACATGCAGACAAATACTGTGAGCTTTCTTCCCTGTTTGAAATACAAAAAGAAAATATTGATGACACTCTCAAAACCAGAAGGGAGTGATTATAAAGGAAAAGAAAGGGAAGGGAAAAATGGAGAGTGGGAAGGGCAAGAAAACATCAGGGGTGGATTTGGAAAAGGCATGATGGATGTGTAGCTAACGAGATAGGAAAATGGCTAATCCTTGCAATGGCTGTTGATATTTTTAAATTAGTTCATAAATGGTCATATATGCACAGTTCATATATGTATATATATGCATATCATATTGAAGTTGAATGCATCCTTAGACACCCACAGCCATACCATTACCCCAGCAATCAGAGGATGTGTGTGTTTGTGACAGGAAATAAAATGAGATGGGAATAGAGGGGGGATTCGTGCAATTAAAATGTCTTACTTTTGAAATTATTCCAGAACTTACAAACACCATCGTTAGATTTCCTCTCAAGGAGGGATATCCATTATGCTCTGCTCTTCAGTCTCTCGGAAAGCACACCTCAGCCAATACACGTCCATCCATGCCCATGTCAGCTGTCTTCACTGTAGGAGATAATGATGGATGAAATTAGCTAGAATGCTTTCTCTTCCTTTTCTCATGTTGTACTTCCCTTCCGGAAATTTCTGCTTTTTTTAGCAAAAAAAAATTGCATGGACCTGTGTGTCAGTCCTATAGATATGAAGGGGTCAGATCAGGAAGATAATGGGGATTTCCCTGTCCAAGAGAGAAGTCACTTTGCTCCATTGAGTCATATACAGCAGCAGGGACCAAGTGGAGTAACAGTGGACCTATACCATCCCAGACAGGACTCAGGTGAGTCTCATCTCTCTCAACTATGGAAATCCCACAATAAGGCGGATTTGAGAGATAATACAAGAATAGTAAATTTGTTAATGGTTAATGATTGTTGCTGTCCACTTGACAGGGTCTAGAATCTTCAAACCTTCAAGGCATACCTGTAAGGGATTATCTAGATTAGGTTAAATAAAGTGGAAATGCCCACCCTAAATGTGGGCAACCTAATTCTACATGCTGGGGTACTTGGCATACCTGAGGGCTCAGTGTGGCCAGCTGCCTCATTCCTGCTGCTGTGTCCTCCCCTACATGATAGACCCTGTCTCTTAAAACTGTGAGTCAAAATGAATCCTCTCTTCTTTGACTTCCTATCAGATATTTGATACAGCAAAGAAAATAGTAACACACAGAAGATCCCATTGTAACTGGTCTCAGATATAATGGCCCAGAATCTTCCATTTGGCCTATCATGTGGCTGGAACAAAGCACCCAGAATACAGCACCAGTTAGCAAGAAGGAAAGAGAGTGTTTTAGTCAGTGTCCCTATGAATCCTACACTTGTTTGTTCTTTCATTTCAATCCTTTTGTTTGTTTTTACAGACAAGGCCTTGCTATGTACCATCGATTGACTTAAAATAACTCATAATGTAGTTGAGGCTAGATTCAAACTTCCTGCCTCTGTTTACTGGGTACTGAGATTATTTATAGGTGCCACCATACTCAGATTCTTGGGGTCATTCTTTTAGTTAAAATACAAACTGAATACTCACTGATAGAAACTGTGTCTTGCTGGTGATGCCTGTGTGGTTCAATCTTGAATACAATTGTTTTGTTTGCTATATAGCACACAGGGGAGGGCTAAGGATATCAGTCACTGGTTTGACCTCACACTGCCCAGAATATGGAGATTGGCTGCTGTCCCTTTGACACTGATTGAGACCAAGTGGATATGGGAACTGAAGAGTTAAGATAACCCTGGAACAAGGGCGAGTAGAACAATACAGCGCTGTTTCTGATGTTTGTCTGAGGAATTTCCCAGTCTTGTATTGGACAGGATCCAGTTCTTTCTCTGTCTACAAAGACCCATTCTCAATGGTGTAAAAGATGGCATCCGTGTGCCCTTCTTGGAATTTTATGCAAATATATGCCAAACAGTTAAAAAATGCCCCATGGCCTTATGCAGCAGGGTCATAGCTACTGAGATGTATCTGCTTGACTCCAAAGGGCCCAAGTATTCTCCACCACAGCTGGCTGTCTTGTTACGAGTCCCTAGACTGACAGAAAATACTCTTCTTCAGAAGCATAGCTCTGCAGACTGTGGGATAACTTGAAACAAATTTTATCATCATCGGAATGGCTTATAGTCAGTGAACACGTATCGACACAGTGAAATATGGCTTACAGATCAAGAAGAGCTCTTCCTACAAATCACAGATTCAACTAATATTCCCTGAGGACCTAGCAGGTGATAGGCATTGTTTAATGCACTAAGGCACAGAAACGATGATACTGAAAGCTTATTCTCCCTTGTAGACTTTATATTCTAGTAAAAGAGCCAAGTAGGGAACGAGTAAATGAATAAACAGGATTAACTTCTGCTGATTATGAATGCTGCTGTGGTAAAATGTGGCATGATGGAGAGCCACTGTGAGGAGAAAGAGAGAATCTTTCACTAAGGTGCTCAGGGGACCCATCTTCACTCATCCTTCTGTTTGTCCTCCTGACACACTGTCCACTCTTCATTGCCACTGCAGTGTCCCCTGCAGTTCTTACAACTGAGTAAAACCAATGATACCTCAAGCAAAGAAGGCAATAAGAACTCAAACCCAAGAGCTTGTTTTGGTCTTTTACATGGATTTATCCACACCACAGTCCAATGACCTAGGGGCTGTTATGGTCTACTCTTTAAAAAAGCCTTACTGATATAATTAACTGAACAAACACCTACAGAGAGGAGAAAGGGTTTGTCTTCCTGATACAATCCTCAGTAATGCAGGTTTTCTCTCTCCAAAGAGGTGGAAATTAATTCCCATCCCCTTGAGTCTAGTTTAGTCTTCATTTCTAATGTTCCCAAAGAAGCTTATAAGAAAGTATCTGTTCCTCGAGAAGTCCAATAGATAGTGACCTTAACCAAGTGACTAAGGTCATGTTGATAGTGTGTTTTTCCCAAATTGGTACAGTGAGGAAAGAACTTGACATTCATAGTATCTTTACCTACCTCTAAATCCCCAAACTCATCTACTGAGGAGAAATATTCAAACAAACCAAAGTTGAACAACATCTCAAATATGTGACCAATGCACTCAAAAAGTGTCAAGGTCATGAGAAACAAGGAAAAGCAGACTGAGATACTGGAGCAGACTGGGGAATAGAGTTGAGTCACATGTAATGTAGTGTACTGAAGTGAAGAAAAGAAAGGCATTAAGTCCGGCAAAATAAGTAGTTTATATAATAGTACTAAATAGCTTAGTAGTTTAGATAGTAGTACTGAATTATTTAGTAGTTTAGATAGTAGCACTACTGAATTATTTAGTGTTTAGATAGTAGCACTAATAGTTTGGTAGTTGAGATAGTAGTTCTGAATAGTTTTAGTCATTTAAATAGTAGTACTGCATTGTTTAGCAGTTTAGAAAGTTTACATATCAGTATGAATTTCTTCACTTTTGCAAGTAGACTAGGATTTTGTATGATACTAACAGTTGGGAAAGCTGGGTAAATTCTTAACAATTTTTTAAATCTGATAACATCATCAAGTAACTGGCTTAGAGTTAAACGTTCTTTAGAAATCAGACAACAGACTACTGTATAGGATCACTTCTGAGTCAGAGTCTGACAACACCTTCCTGGGTACTTTCCATTTGAGAACACTGAATCACAGACTACAGAAAATTTGCTTCTATGCCTAATTATAGAGAAAACAAAGTGGTGGTAGGGAATCCTGAATGTAAAACTTACTACAAAGAGGCTGCATGTGTAATATGCTCCCACAACTTCATAGATCCAATGACCCCACCACCATGAACTTCTGGTCTAGTTGTTAAATGTTCCCTGTGAATCCATAAAACCAGAAGTCTTATATCTTTTGCTGAAATATCTAATTTCACTCCCAGAAAAATTACGCACTGGTCATGATGAATAGTCACTGGGAACCATAATTTGGGACCATCAGAAGCTTCATTACATATTTGCCTGAAAAATCGGCCTCCTTTGGTGAATATTTTTAGTGTAGTTCTCAAACCTAGCTCCACTGAGACATCCTGGGCTGGAGAATCAATACAGGCAGCAAATGAGCTCGGCAGACAAAGGAGATGAAGTATAATCCTAAAGAAGAAAGACCCAAGAAGCCTGTCTTCAGTTGCAGTAGGATGTACATCTCCACCATAAAACTAGCATTGAATGACAGTCTATTTAAGCAAGGACAGAAGTAACCACTGCCAACTATCACATCGGAGTGTTATTTTATTGACAATAACATTATCTAATTTTATCCCCGTTATTAAAAGTAAAGTGACTATAACTCAGAAGAACTTAGTCATAAGTTGAGACTCAAAAACATATCCCATTTATGTTAGTCATCAAGCACTTTAGGCTTAATATGGTAAATTCATAAGGAGTAGAGATATTTTTAAGATTTTTTAAAAGATTAAATTATTTCTTACATATACACTGTTCTGCCTACATGCCAGAAGAGGACACCAGATTGAATTGTAGATGGTTGTGACCCACCATGTGCTTGCTGGGAATTGAACTCAGGACCCCTGGAAGAGCAATTGGTGCTCTTAACCTCTGAGCCATCTCTCCAGCTCCAGTAGAGCTATTCTTACATGAGGAACTCCACAGGGGTCCTGACACCCATGGCAAAGCAAACGAGAGCCCAAAGGAGAGGCCATTATTTCAGCAAGCTGTTAAAAATACAAGACAAAACCAAAGAAGACAAATTACACATTTGATTGTTCCTTAACTCAAATTGCCTCTGTTTTTCCCTCTGAAACTATGGTACCAGTTCCATGTAAACACTGAACAGAAGTGAGTTTGCACCACAGTCATCCACCTGCTCACGGAATTATCATTCTGTTTTCTTCTACCCTTGAAGCAACAGAAATTGCTTTCATTTACAAAAACAGTAACAAGAAAGTATGCATGCATATGATATGCAAAACAGACACGGGAACAAATGCACAAACAGCGGTTTTGCTGTTTCCAACAGGAAACATGAACACAGAGAGGAAGGTGCCTGGGAATCTGGGTAAGATGAGAGGCCCCAGCTCTGCAGAAGGCATCCCAGACAACAAGGCAAACAGACGACTCAAGCTCAGAGTGTGCTCAGTGACTCAGCCCCAGCTCTGCCTTATATATAGGTTGAATGTTCCTCGCCAAAATAAAAGATGTCACATTTGACCTTCTGTGAGAATACTTCACAGATTATTGAAGATTAAGGCTGTTTCACTGAAATTCTTTTCAGACCATGCATTGCATTTCAGCCACTGACTGCCCCTAATGTGATGGTAGAAGACTGAGGCCATAGACTAGAAAGTAGAGCCTTAAGCTTGGGCTAATTTTTCACTGTCCTTACTATTACTTGTGATGATATTTTGTTTATAATCTAACAAGTAAAGCTTGCCTGAAGATCAATCAGAGTGCAAAGTTAACCACAGCGATAGAGGCCAGGCAGTGGTGGCATACACCTTTAATCCCAGCAGCCACACTAGTTAGCCACAGAGGCTAGGCAGTGGTAGTACACATCTTT